TTTATGTTGACATTCTATCATTTGACATTATTGTTAAGTTTATTTAATGTGTCATTGATTGCTGTGCAGTAATGTTTGATTACTTGCATTATTTTCAGTAATGTTCTCCTTACTGCTGTGGTCAGTTTTCCTTTTTTTCTATTCTATCACCCAACCCTTCAACTATAAATACTCTTCTGGTTAGTCCTGCATGTGATCAGTTTCTCTTGCTTTGTAAATGAACAATCTAGACATTATGGACCGCCGGTCCAGGTTCTTAGAAAATGCAAGGATTTTTGGTGCACAAAGGGGCTATAGAGGACAAGAGTTAACAACGTTCATACAACGCGAACAGGAAGAATGGGACTCGATGATTGCTCGTCATGCAGCGGAGAGGGAAGAAGAAGAGAGAATGCGGCAACTTGAAGAAGAAGAAGATGCTAGACAGTTGCAACTCCAAGAGGATGCAGCTGTCAAAAGAATGAAGCTTCTTCAAGAAAAGCTGCATAACTATCGACTACTTAGGCAGACAAAGAAGAGAGAACTGCAGTTAGACACAGGGAACAGTGAGAACAACATCCAGGTAGTTGAGGGAACTGACAACTCCCATACTGACACTCTGGTAGAAAGGTCAGGGACTCACTCTCTCAATGGAGAGGTGTGTACTATTGCGCCAAATGGTACCTCATCAAATGATGAAGTAATAGACCACCCAAGACCTTGCCTCACCTCTCTTATTCCTTATAGGAAAAGAGTGGACATCAAGAATTCTTTGACAGGAATCAGATCTACATTGCTGAACCCCTGTATTCTCCATTGCCCTGATAAGCAAAATGAGAAGCCTCCTGTCCCCACAAGGAAGCGAGTACAGAAAACAAAGAAATCTTCAAAAGGGATCAGATCCACATTGCTGAACCCCTTTACTCCCCTTAACTCAGATGAGCAAAGTGAGGAGACTCCTCCTGAGCCTAAATGGAATCATGGAAGGAGAAAGTGTACCGTGGGCACCCTTAATCGTCATACCAGTGACAGACGAACCTCAGACGCCACATCCGATTCATTTAACTTCTTATGTTCCTTAGTGAAAGAAGGGAATCGGCATGTTCCGAAAGGGAAGTGTAGGACTAAGCGGACCCCGAACACATCGAACAGCAGCCACCAACGTGATAACTGCTGGAACCGTAAACATGGCGGTTTGACAGGGACACTAGCCAATAATGAAAGTGAAGGTAGCACTTTTAGTGACTCTATGATGCCCTTCAGTAATGTTAAACCAGAAGTGGAATCATGGCAGCATGGTACAGAGAATAACAGTAAATCTGTTTCTTTCATTTCCCTTGATGCAGCCACATGCAATAGGGAGATGAGTATCAGTTCTGATTTGGCATCCCAGATGGGTGACTGTGATGGCAGCAGCACTCAACTTTATTTACTCCCTCTGGACTTGGCCCATAAAAGCTTGACCAGGGAGGAAATAACCGACACAGAGGATACTTTCCCTGAGGTCTTTGCAGAGTATTCTGGGAAGGAAACTCTTGATGAGCAGGAAATTCCCGTAAGCCTTATTAACTTTGAAAATGGTCAAACAGCACTGTTTGCCATCAACACAAAAGAATGTACTTCTTTTGGGCAGGGAGAGAGCCTATCTCTTGCCTGTGCAGCTGACACCACAGGGGAACTTCAGATGAAGGACCTTGTGGCTGAACAAGCCAAGAGTAAAAGGGAAACCAAACACTCTGGTCTTAGAGTACTCTTCACTTCGAAAGATGCGACAGGAGTAACTCAGCTGCCGGTGGAAGCTTCG